TGTGGCAAAGTCAACAGTTTGAAGGAAGAGAGTTGCCAAGTGAGTTGTGTCAAACGAGGAACCGCTCTTAAACTGAACTATGAAGTCAAAGCCCCTGGCAGTATACTAAGGTATGCTCTTAAACATTTGTGCGTCTCGCACCTGTTGCTCGATGGACCAAGGAAAAAGTAGAGACTGCTCGTAGTCTAAACAGTGATGGAAAGGGTGGCCTTTGAGGTTGAAGGAAAGATCCGACAATGCAGAAGAAAAAAGGGAAGACCACCGGGAGTTTTTCAGTTGTTCCTTTCTTCTCACAGATCGACGTTTTCAAATTCTAGTGCGATCTGGAATTTGAGGGCCAAAAAAAGACCAGGATTTTTGACTGTCAGAACATCGTGTAAAGAGAGTCATGTCCAAAAACCCGGGACTTATGCATTTTCCTTTCAGGGTCCATTTGTTTAAAAGGTGGATAAAAGTTTCCAACGGGTAAATCTCTATCCAGTTGGGAGCGCAATTAGTTTTTTTAACACTTATCTACTGGTAAGTGATATATCCCGTGGATATTGAAATCCAGCGTTTTAAACAATTGGTTCAGGCCCCGGTTGCCCAAACGTAGCGCTACCCACCGGATAAATCATTATCCAGCGGGTAAGTATTTGGGAAGCCAATTGCGTTTTCCACTAGATAGAGATTTATCCGGTGGATATCGCTATCCACCTTTTGAACCAACTAGGGCCAGGGGCCCGTTTCTTGAAAGTGCCGATAACTTTTCGGGACCGAATTTGCCGTATTTGCATTCAAGATCCAAGTTTCAGTAATTTTGAAAATAATACAATGAAACTATCAGTCAAAGAAGCAAAATTACATTAAATGAAGAGCTATAATGGCTCTTGATTAAATTTAATTATATGAAATTATTATTATAGTCTTTGCTTACCCGGGCTAGAACTTCTATCAAATGTTAATCCGGAAATTGAATTTACTTCCTATGTATCCTGTGCGACGCGTTATGCTCTTCAACAAAACTGTAAAGAATTATTGAACCTTTATTTGTTTACTTATTTATAAAGTGACAGTTTTGTGGTAAATGTGGTACTCGTTTATTCGCTTCAAAAATGAAGTGGGTTTTTTTTTACTCTCTTGTAGCTGGCAGTACCGTTCTCTGGACCACGACATTGGATTTGGTGTGTTTTTCTCCGAAGTGGAGAAGAAAAGTTCCAAAGACTTACAAGAAATGGTGCGTGTTGTTGTGTTCAAGATCCTGGCTTAGCTAGGAAACGTTTTATCAACAATTTTCTCTTCTTCATTCAAGTAGGAAAAGGGTAACCGGGTTTCGAGGCTTTTGACTTTATTCAATAACTTTTATCAGGACCCGATGACTAATCATCATCATCATCATCATCACCATCTACATCGTCATCATCATCATCAACATCATCATCATCATCATTATCACCGTCATACTTTATATTAAAAGAAGGTTGGGAAAGGAAGGTAGCCAAAGAGCAGATCATGAATTTACTACAGACATGAGGAGACATTATCACTTACAACGAAAATATAAACATGCAGGAATAAAGTTTAAATACTGCAAACAAGTAACTTAACTAACAGTGCACTCGTCTAACGCCCCAAGATTAGTCCCTAGCTCTTTGGCTCGTCAATTTATTTTGCCAGGAGCCTAATTCGGCTCCTGATATTCCAATGAAACGCGCTATTAAGCAATGAATCGGTTTTGCAGATTCCTACGGAAAGACGAAATTGTCATATGATTCCTGAAGAAGGATCTATTCTCTGTGAGAAACCAGGCATTTGTAAGTTCATTATGTGTCTTTTAAGAATTAGTTAGGGTAAATGTCTTGCGTTATTTATCATCTAGTCATGNGACTTTATTCAATAACTTTTATCAGGACCCGATGACTAATCATCATCATCATCATCATCACCATCTACATCGTCATCATCATCATCAACATCATCATCATCATCATTATCACCGTCATACTTTATATTAAAAGAAGGTTGGGAAAGGAAGGTAGCCAAAGAGCAGATCATGAATTTACTACAAACATGAGGAGACATTATCACTTACAACGAAAATATAAACATGCAGGAATAAAGTTTAAATACTGCAAACAAGTAACTGAACTAACAGTGCACTCGTCTAACGCCCCAAGATTAGTCCCTAGCTCTTTGGCTCGTCAATGTATTTTGCCAGGAGCCTAATTCGGCTCCTGATATTCCAATGAAACGCGCTATTAAGCAATGAATCGGTTTTGCAGATTCCTACGGAAAGACGAAATTGTCATATGATTCCTGAAGAAGGATCTATTCTCTGTGAGAAACCAGGCATTTGTAAGTTCATTATGTGTCTTTTAATAATTAGTTAGGGTAAATGTCTTGCGTTATTTATCATCTAGTCATGCGAACATTATCCAGAGTCGGAGGGTCGTTGGTTATTCTGAACAAAACTAGACGCCTACACTAGCCATACATTGGGCTATGCGATGCAGTGGTCGATCATTTGGAACGTGTAATGATAATCACACTTTTTCCATGCAGTGTATAGTTATAGTTGTATTGTCATTTTGTAATTGTGTGATTGTTTAGGTTAGCGCAGTCCTGAACAGGACTGCAAATTGCAGTGACCTACTACTCCATGCAATGAATTTTCCTTTCGTTCCAAGTTTAGATATTTTATCTTAAATGACCCACTCCCTCCCCTTAAACGTCAAATGATTTGCCCCATAGAAAGGGGGACGGGATACACAACGGCTTTTGGGTCATCAATCCGCCATTTTGTCTTTTTTTGGCTGGAGACGACGATCGCAACGTAAAAAGTAATTGAGTTTTGCCACAGGAACCCTAATAGTTAAAGTTCTGTTGGTACCCCTGGACTCTTAAGGATGCCGGGAAGAAAAGGTTTGGTCATGTGACTTAAAATGTGTAATTAATGTTTTTAAGTGCAGGAAAACCTAGCGTGAATCACGTGGTATATTAGGCTTACCCTAAAATGGTACTGACTCAATCCCATTTCTATCTTTCTAGATATTCTTCGATTTGATAACTCGTACAGTTGGACAAGAAATAAAAAGATTCTCTACAATGTAGAAATTACAACAGAAGCGCAGGACTCGTTGAAGTTTTGATTTTTTGTAAAGCATACGTATGACTTATTTAAGTCTAATCGTAGATGTAAATTTTGAATTGTTACGTTATATTCAGTAGACTTCTGTGGAAGGTATGTCTTTTTTAAGGGGGCGGGGTAAGGGATGAGAGATGCCGGTGGTATGTGAATGCTTGGGCATGACTCTTCTGTTGTTTGATTTTTCATGCAACGTAACGATCATTCCCTTTGCGTGATGACTTTCACGTAATTATCATCCACGTTGCGTGACGACTTTCGCGTAATGATCCGCCCCGTTGCATGATGACCTAAATAGCCTACTTGCACCCTAGCGAGGATTAGTCTCTTGTTCATTTCTTCATAGGTCCATTAAAGTGAACGGTTTGTTCAGGATAACCTGTATTACGAAACGTAACGCTACCAACTTTTGCGCATGCCTATCCACCACCCTCCTCTTCCTCTACAACTGGAAAATTTGTAGTGATATAACAGAGAGGAGAAGTTGTTACGTAACGTTGCCATGGTAGCAAAATTTCTGGATCCTCACACCGTTGTCCTACAAATATGGCACTCAGGAACAAAACTGTCGCCTATACTTTTCTTCCATCGTTCCACAATGCAAACGGCCGTCTCTGTCCAGAAAGATTGTTGAGATTCAGAAATTTTGCTACAATGGGAACTGATGTCACACTTCATGTCTTTATTTCAGTGAAGATTTAATGTAGCATAGACCAGTCGATTGAAATTGTAATTGGTCAGTGGCTTCCAAGCTACTAATTGTTGTACGAATATTTTTAAAACCCCGATATTTTAAAGAAGCAGGGCTGTCATTTGCACTCATGATGTAATATAGTGTATAATTCATTGTATAACAGCACATTAGAGTTTTTAGCTTTAATTTTACATTTAGGTCCTGTTAGGGTAAAATTTCGACAAGCGACATGGCCTTGAAAAGCGACATGAGATTAGAAGAAACTGGCACAAATGACGTAAATATGGTTGAAACTGCAACAACGACCTGGAAAAGTATAAATATAATGGTAAATTTTCTGGCAACGACATGGCTTCCTACTCAATACGCGAAACGACGGGTTTTGAAATTCGGACTAGGGACATACGTACCCCCCCCCCCTCCCCCTGCTAAGAGGGCTGCTGTAATGCTTTCACCATCTGTTTACTGAGTTCCACTGTTCGTTCTTAGACTATACCGGTAGAGGCACTTTTGTACCAGAAGTCACTGTCCTATGAAGAGTTCTATCAGGATATTTTATGTATTTGCTTTACAATGTACAAAGTTATCTCAAAGCTGTAGGATACGTCAGAATTTCGGGGGTTATACAGAAAAAGACCATAGCTGGTGTTAAACAAATTGTGTTCTGAGTCTTTTTAATTTCAGCCTTGGTATCAGTTTGTAAAACGAAATCTGTCTTACTCCGTTGTTTAAGACACTCAGAGGGCCTCCAGAACTACTTGTGTTCTTGAT